GGTAACCCTGGCAAGTTTTAAACGTTCAGGAAAAATACCTGGATAGATGCTCTGAAAATTTTAAAAATAATATTTTTTAATTGTTCGTAGCAATCTATAACAATATTTCCGTTTATTTCATATGCACCAGGTCCTTTAGTTTTTTTTTAAAGATTTGAAAGCTTTTTTATAATCATCAAATGATAGTTAGGCAGATAATTCTTGAGAGCAAATATCTTTATCAAAAAATCAATGAATGAGGTTTTTGGTATTTTACTTGACAGAGTTGATCCAATTTTAGTGAAATATTTATTGAATTCGTGAGCTATTATTTGTGGTTCATACAAGCTATTGTTATCGACTTTAAGATTTGTGGCAAAGAGCTTCAGCATGTTTTTTGTTATCCAGTAATTTCTTTCAATACTTGCCGAGTGCTTTTTGAGTCATTTTTAACTTTATTAATTAATTTTGAACAGTTAATTTTTTAAAGATTTTTTCGGTTTTTTAAGAAAGGATTTTTGTAATCTTTGTAAATTTTTTTGCTAGCTGGTGTTTTTGTTTTCAGATATTTTATGCATAGTTTTTATTTAGTTTTGGATGATTTTTTAAATCCTTTGGTAATCCAGGGATTATTAAACTGTTAGTTTTTAATGTAATTGTAACAATTACATTAAAAACAAAATTAGAGTTAAGAATTAGATTCGTAAACAAAGGTGAATGCTTCAAAGATCTTTTCATAAAGGTTGTTTGCGTTTTCATTAAAATTTAAGTGTTTCCAATGTAATAACGAGAGTTGATTTTTGAAAGACTCAATATTTAATGGTTTAAGAAAACGTGTTTTTATAACTTTATTTAATTTTTGTTTAGGCGGTTGGTCAGTGTTTATGGTTAAAGAAATAGGAAAGTGGTCTGAAATATCTGTTTTTAAGATGCCCAATTTTATATCATTGTTGAACAAGTCTGTGGAAATAATATTATCCGGCAAAGTTGCTGAATTTTTTGTTATTCTTGTTAGACGATTTATTAAAGGAATTGCTCCAGATTCAAAAATTGCATCATAAAAATTTCTAACTTTGTTATCGTCAAATTGTAGCTAAAACAATTCATATTAAAATCACCAACTAGAAAGTTTCTTTCTCTTCTTCGTTACTTTTCGCAATAACTTATTGCCGTAAAAACATGCTCAAGTTCTCGCTCACGCCTTCTGGCGGTCAATAACAACAGCTATTTAAAATGTTTTTTTTTGTTTGTTCGTTAATAATCTCAATTGTTAATATTTGTCGATCGCCATCAGAAACACAAAGATCATTTCTACAATAACGCCTAATATTTTTATGAACTAAATTAGAACTCCACCACCGCGCTTATTTATTTGCCTTTCAAGAGAAATCATTTTAAAATGAGAAAGATAAAAATTAGAATTTTTATTTATCTCGTTTGAGGTAGCGCAAGTTTCAGTTAAGAAAATGTAAAGTAAATTCCGTTTCAAAATAATTTAAAGAGTTTCAAAGTCACATATAAAAGCCAAGATTAGTTGTAAAAAATAAATTGAGAAGTTATTTTTAAGAACGAACGCATTTATTTCCAAAATTCTCAAGAAAAATTTTTTATCATTCTTTATAACTGCATACTTACCTTCAAGTTGCAGCTTTTTGACCTCTTCCCACAACTTTTTTCGCCTTTCGATCATTTCTTTAGCGAAATCTTCATTGACGCATACCCCTGTTCTTCGCAAATTTTTTGTAGCGTTAAGTAATTTTTGTTTTGTCTTGAAAATTTAATAACTTAAGGACAATAGTTCTTGGTTTCTTGTCTTCTTTAGGTTGGTCTATTCTATGAGCTCTTTCTATAATAATTTTATTGTTAATTTTAAGTTGTACTTAGAACCTTTCCTTTACTAAATTTTCGCACTCGGCCCAATTTTCATTTGGTTTTTTATATACTCCGTCTATTCTTAAATTATTCCTTCGAGACCGGTTTTTCAAATCTAATGTCTTTTTATTTAAATTGTTTATATCTTTTTCATAACGCTTTGTGATCTGATTTAATTTTTCCGTGATGCTTCCTTCTTGATAGTTAAAACAGTCTTTAAAGTCGCGTAGGTCGTTTTCTATGCTCAAGACTTTTGATTTGTAAGTGTTCAGGGCCACCGAGAGGGAAAAGAGGAGGGCCCAGGAGGAGGCATACATGAGCCCGGGCGCCAAGATTATTGGGGCGCCAAAAAAATATATATATTTTTTAAGTTTCTATACAATGTTTAACTTTTGATTTAAATGTTTTGTGATTTTATATGATGTTTGTTACGGATTATTATGTTTAGTACAGTGAGTTTTGCTTTCAGAAAGAACTTTTTTGTGTGTATGCATATTATGAAAGTGACGTATTACCTTTTGGCATAAAATCTCACGAAAGTATGAACGTGCATATTTCAATGTCAACCTATGCAATTGTATCTCAAATGTCAAATCTGCTAATTTAAAGGTGAAATAAGAAAAGAAAAGAAAGAAAAAAAAAAGGAATAAGTTAAAAAGTTATTTTATAGATGCAAAAATTAAAAAAAGTAAATGTAAAACACGGTTAAAAGATTTAAATAAGTATAGATTAAAAAAACAAAAACAAATTAAAGCATAACACAAGCTAAAAGAAAAAAATGTTCGAAAATAGTAAATAAAAAAGAACTACAGATTATATTATAAAATTTAAGGTTTTTAAAAGAAAAGCAAAAAAAACAATTTTTTTTGATTTTTATTAATTTAGTACAATGTCTTGTACTTTAGTGTATTGTTTATACGCCTTTTTTTAAGTATTGTTTGTACGGTGTTTTGTTTGCGCAATGAGTGTTGTTTATTGTGTTGCTGTTGCTTATTATGTATGTTTATATATATTTTTTTATTTTGTTTCATATATATGTATGATATTACTCGGTTGGTTTATGGATTAAAACTCACAGAGTGAGATATGATCTCAGCTAATGTTTGAATAAATGAAGAAACTGTTGTAAATATTTTGTATTATTGTATTATATTATCAATATATTGAACTATGTGCATAGTTAAGCATTGGTTCAACCAGTAATTTTAAGCAGGTAAATAACATAGATTAAAGATAATAATATATTTTTATACTTGTTCATAAGAAATCTTTTAACCGATTTTTTTTTATGATTCTCTAGCATTTGATAAAAAAATGATTTCAGCTTTAAAAATAAATTCGTTTTATAGGGCAATTAAAGATTCTAATCTGGTTCAAGGACATCTTTTGATTGGTTCCTTATTCCTACCCCTTCCCCAATGGCTTTGCAAAGTTATATATGTTTTAAAAAAAATTAAAAATAAATTTTTATTTATTTCTTTGATAGTTCGTTTCAAATGTCCTCAATTGGATAATGTTACCAATTGGAATAAATTAAATAGACTTAACTGCTGATTTGTTTCAATTGGAATAAATTAAGTAGACTTAACTGTTGATTTGTTCCATATTAAAAGCATTTTTTTTAAAATTGAAAATATCAAACTTTGTTTAGTAAAAGGTTAACAATATAATGATCCGTAAAAAAAATTCCGGGGCTCTAAACCGTACAAATGCTGTCAAGAGAGCGCAAGATAATGAGATAAATAAAGATTCGCTGAAAAAGTTAGGCTGGTTTACTTTGCTTCATACTCATACCAATAAAGTTAGTATTTATTATTATTGTTAGTTTTATTGTTTTGCTTTTAACCATTTTTATTTATTCGGAAATTTAATTAGGTACATAAAAATAACGACGAAATAGGAAATGTTGTCTATTATAATGAGAGAAGCAGTAACGAAAAGCCGCTCCCTACAAAAGCAAGTGCATATTGAGAACGAATCAGGTGTCTATAAATAATGCGTAGTTTTTTTCAAGGTTTTTTCGTATATTATTATACCAGGTAAATCAAATGTTATATTTAGGTGAAAACATATTAGAAAATTGTGAGTCAAATTACACAACAAACACTAAAACATATTAGGAAATTGTGAGTCAAATTACACAACGAACACTAAAGAGAAGAGTATCATTAATTTTATGAAAGTGAATGTTACGATCAACAAAAAGCATTTTTGGGGGATTCAGGTATAGGTTCCGAAATCCTTTTTATGCTGACTTATGGTATTTATTTTTATTTTATATATTTATAATAATTATTGAATTTATATTTAAACAAAACCCTAGAAAATGATCCGGCACTGTGGCCGCCGATTCTCAAGCAGTGTGAAAGGGCTAACATCATTTAGAAAGGTTCTTCTCCTCTACTTGATGTATTTTCCCGCAATAGAAAACAAAACAGAGCATTTCAAAAAACTGTTCTTTCCATGATTCTGCCCAATGGAGATACAGTTAAAAGAGATTATCTGGTATGGAGCACAATAATAAGTTCACTTCTATGTTTCCCTTGCTCTTTATTTGGGTGCAAAAGTTTTGGATGTCTTCTTCGTTGGAATGGTGGAATTAAGGATGACTGGAGAAAGCTTAATGATCAATTTATAGCACATCACAACAACCCTGTACACCAAAGCCATTACATCACATAGAAGACTTTGATGACAAATCTATCCGATGATAGCGAGATTGATACGGCAATCAAACAAACTTTAGAGTCTGAGGTAACGAGGTGGCGTGAAATATTACGCCGTATTTTGGATGTAACAATGTTTCTTTTATCACGAAACATGGCGTTTAGTGGTAATCTTTATTTTTACTTAGCTATTAATATTTATTGTATAAACAATCTTTTTTACAGATTCTTGTATTATTAACAGGTCAAACATCTGCTCTTGGAGAGCAAGAAAGTGGCAATTTTCTAGGAGCTCTAGACATGATTTTAAATCACAACAAAACGTTAAAAAACCATCTAGAAAACGTAGCTCGTCACCAAAAGAGGGAACTCGAATGCAGGCACACTACCTCTTATGGGAATCACAGAACGAGTTTATACGTGAGTGTGCTTCATTAGTTCAGTGTGACCTTTTAAAGGAAGTGAGAGAAGCTGGATACTTTACAGTCATTATCGATGGAACCCCAGACGTTTCACACACTGAAAAAATCATTTTTATTTTTCGCTTTGTTAATTTCAGCTTCAACAAAAAAAGCTGAGAGGTAAAAAAGCGCTTTCTTTGCGTTGAAGACATGGAGAAAAAAAAGGAGTGGGTATTGCAAAAATTTTTGTGATGTTTTAATAAAAGTAAATCTTGACTTGCAGAAATGCCGTGGCCTAGGTTTCAACAACGGTTCAAATACGGCTGGAATTTACGTTGGAGCACAAACTTTAATTTTACAGAAAAATCCATTAGCCCTCTATATTCTTTGTGGTGCCCATAGTCTTAATTTAGCTGGAGTACATGCAGTTGAATCTTGTGCTGAGATGAAGACTTTCTTTGGTAATATCCAAGCTCTCTACGTGTTTTTCAGCTGCAGTCCGGCTAGGTGGAAGATTTTGCAAGAATTGACTGGAATCTCTCTTCACAAGCTTTCCGATACCAGGTGGTTTATCAAGTTCAGTCAAGTTTTGACATAGTAAAGACTGTTTCCTCAAGATTCTCATTCATCTGGTTCAAAGACCAAGAACCAGATTCTCAAGAGATAAAAGCTCGTGAATTAGCACAGTTCTACGCTTATGATGTCAAAGAAGACAACTTCATACAAGAAATTTTGCATCTCAATTGTTTGAAGAAGTCTTCGTTTTTTATTCTTGGAAACTCATTGAGCCTTCTCAACCAAATACAGTCAAAGAGTCTGCAGCCTATTTTTACATATGTATGCATCTTAATTCGAATTTTTAATAAGAATAACAACAAATTAAAACATAATAACAAATTTTGCTGGTAAAAAAGCAAGAAAAGAGTGTTTTCTATAAGCCGTTTTTTTTCTTATTTGAATCCCTAAAGAATGTCTAATAATGCATTTATATTGTATTAGTGTTGCTTAATTGTATTTTTTTAAAGATGCAATTTTTGATAATATTGCCGTAAAATGATTTTAACAGAAATAAATCACAATTGAAAAAAATTCATTTTAAAACCATGTGCACTCATATATATAAAAGATTTCATTAGGTAAAGAATTTTTTTAAAATCTTTAAAGGCTTTAAAAGTCTTAACTAAACCTATTTAAAAAAAGGTTTGAATTAAGACTTGATGCAATAACTGACTTAAATCAACTATGTGTATATTAAGGTATTACACCTTTTAACATTGTGTGCAATCATTTTTGCGTACTTTATGCTATCTTTTTAACTCGACTACTTCTACCTTTTACTCTAACATGTCTTCGTTCTTCTCAAACTCACCTTACCCTCGGTCCGTAGAGCAGGTTATGACGCTCCTTGGGGAGCCGAACTTGTCTTTGCGGGCTATGGTAATGTGCCCTATATATGGCTATTAGCCGGAGGAGGATAAACCACAATACCAATCATGTATCTTTAAAGGGACGCCTACTCAACGCTATGCCCCGGGCGCCATAAAAGCTCTCGGCGGCCCTGTTAGTGTCTACTTCTTTTTAAATTTTATCTAATCGACTAGTGAGTATTTTTGAAATAACAGTCGCTCCGTTTCTTTTAAAATACTATTTTTTTGTTCTTCGAGTTTGTTTGTAATTAATTTCTCGATAATTTTCAATGTAATTTCAATTATTTCTTCTTTTACTTTATTACGAGTTATTTTTTTAAATAAAATCAAATCAGAAATAAATCTTTTCAAACTTACCAAAAAAAAAACAAACAAACAAAAAATTTACCAGAAAATTTATAAGAAAACAACAACAATCAGAAAACAACTTATAATAACTGAATATATTGAACAACTTTACAGCCAGAAAAAAAAACAACAACCAGAAAACAACAACTTTCAAACAACTTTCAACAACTGAATATATTAAATTATGAATATATTGACAATGTTCTTATTCGTTTTTCTAAGGTGATTGCTTTGATAACCACGGATTAAAAGAAAAGTTAATCGATGTTCAGTTAAGCCGCAATCTTTGATAGCCGTAAAATCTCTTAAAAATTTATAAATTAATATGAAATATAAACATTTCAGCTAAACTAAAATTATCAATGCGAAAGGTAAGTGTTAATATCATACTAAAACTGAGTTAAATAATTTTGAGAGTTTACATATGGGGCCATCCATAAAGTACGTACGCAGGTATAAAGAGAGGGGGCCTCTCTTTATACCTGCGTACGTACTCTCTACCTCTTTCACCAGGATTTATTTGCATTAATCGTAGATAAATGCGAATAATTCCAGGTGAAAGAGGTAGAGATAGTGGTCTCTCTGCTGAAGATGAAGTTAGCAGTTTTTTTTAAACAATTAACAAGTTAGTTAATTGTTCTCAACAAGAACTAACAACTCGCTTTAAAAGATTAAATTATCTCAATGAAAAATTTGGATTATTGCTCGATGTGAGAATATTGCAAAAAAAGGATAGTGATGAAAATTGAGAAAGTTTGCAGGAACATTGTTTGGATCTGGGAAACTTTTACAGTACAGATATCAGTAGAGCAGAATTATTTACTAAAGTTGCAGATTGTCAGATAATCCCTATATCTTGTGGGGGCCCAATACCAACAACTCCACTGGATTTAACTTTCATTTATTTTGTCATACGGAGAAGATAAATATTTCAATCCTCCCCCTCTTTTCAGATTTATTGCACGCCGTGACCCATGCATTGTAAGTTAAACCATCAATTATCATCGCAATTTTATACGCATAAGTTTACTTTTTGCGCTTAAAAAAAAAATCCTCACTTTCGGTTTCTCATAATGGATGGTGTCCTTCAAGTTTAACTTCTTTAGAAGTAGTTTTTTGAAATTTGTATTTATTTTTTGTTACTTTAGTTAGAATTATTGATAGTTTTTAAAACTTTATAAAACTGTAGGTAAAAATTGCATAATAAGTCATCTTGCCCCGGTCACGTGACCAGATGACAAATTTATGAATTTTTTATTTTAATATTTATTTCAAATTGTTATACTTACAAACTGAAAATTCATGCAGGCAATGAAGAATTTTAATAACATAAACATACTGAGAAAGTATTATTGCTTCACAACTGATAGTTTTGCAATAACTCAGGGCTCGCCAAGTTGCCGCGCTTTCCCCTATATATATATATATATACAAGGCCGGCGCGATAGGGGGTTGTGGGGGTGTGTGACATCCCCCCATCAATGATTTTTAGTCGGCAAACTGGACCCTTAGTCGGCAAATCGGACCTTTTTAGACTAGTTAGTCGGCAAATGTCGACCCTATAGGTTAGACAGTCGGCAATATAGGTTAGACAGTCGGCAAATGTCGTAATGACAGTCGGCAAATTTTGGAAAACGAGGACCTTTTTTTTTTTTTTTTTTTTCTTAGTCGGCAAAAGTTGTAATGGCACCCCCCCCATGTGACACCTACTCGCGCCGGCCCTGTATATACATATATATATATATATATATATATATATATATATATATATATATATATATATATATATATATATATATATATATATATATAAATATATATATATACCAAATAATACACAAAAATTATTTGTGTATATATATATATATATATATATATATATATATATATATATATATATATATATATATATATATATACACACAAATAATACACAAAAAAACTTTCAAAAAATCTTTCAAAAAAGAATCAAAAAAGTGAAAAATTTTTATCAACAATAAAAAGCAAAAGATAGATAACCAAGAAGTTATCAATCCACAAAAATTGCGTTGTGTTTTATTATAAATAATTTTATTTGTTATTAAGGTAATTTAATAATAATAAAGTATTACTAAATATTTATTACTAATTATTTAATAACAACAAAAGCACAACAGAAACAAACAAAATTTAAAAGTTAAAGAAATGTAGTAAAAGAGTTAGAGAAATGTAGTACTGATCTAAATAAAATAGTATTAAGATGTTTCAAGTATACTCACATTTTTTTAAACGAATAAGTGATGCTACGTGTTCTGCGGAAGTTGTTTTTATAAAAATTTTAAATTTAAAATACGTTCTGATGGTTAAATGAGGGGTGTATCGTTCGATTTTTGACATGGCTTACTTCCAGACAGACAAATAAAGATGCTTTGCAAAAAATTGCGATGATTGGTGCCTGGGAACAAATAAAGCCACAAAATTTTCGCCCCAGCCCAAAACGTGAAAGCATCAAGTTGTTAAAATATTTCTTGTGCTATTCTTAATCAAACCTTTATTCATCGATAAATTTTAAATTATATAGTATAATATTTCAGCGCTCAAAAATATGACCATTCAAAGTTTGAACTCCCTCAATTTGAGGGAGTTAAAAATTTTATATTGGCATAATTTTTAAACGCTGATAAATTATACAACAAAACTTAAAATTGTTCAATGATTATAAGTCTTATTGAAAATAGTAACTAAGTTTTTTTTTATTAACTTACAGCTGTCAGGTTTGAGGCGGGGGAGGGGGCGGTTGTGAAAGCAAAAATTTTAGGGCTTTTTTGTTCCCAAACTTCAATCATCTAACATAAGTATAATCTGTTTAACATAAGTATAAATATGCAAACCTTTATAGTTTGCTTCATGTCTGGAAGTCTCAAAGACCAAAAAATGCTGGATCCGCCCTGAGTTAATAACAGATTATTGTCAGCAAAAAGAGCGTAAATTCTGTTATATATAATTCTTTCTAGAATTTAAAAAATAAAAGGAAAAACGAAGATAGGGGAATAATTAACATTTTTTATTTTTAAATTGATTAGGAAAAACTCCTTTTTTTGTTAAAGGTGAAATAATTTTAAAAAGAACGTCTTTAATAGCTCCGCAAGAATTTTTATTTTTTTGCTATTTAAATCATCAAAGCTATTGTTTAACTGATCAACATTGGTTATGATATTATTTTACAACTAGCAGTAAGCAACCCGTAATACGCGTTGTTAGTAAAAAAAAACCGCGTATAGAAAAGCCTAGAAACTCTTTTAAAATAGAAAAGCCTAGAAAATGACGTAACTCGACCAATATTAAATTAGTGTACTCATTTTTTATACTTAAAAGGTGTTAAGTATAAAAAACATGCTGTCAAAGTTATTTCAAATCGATTCACAAGTTTTAAAGATCAATTCAAAATTAATATCTCATTTTTTATTAATTAAATTTTTTTTTTTTTATAAATGATTTTATTTAATTATGCTAATATCGCCTGGTACAACTAAACTAGTTTTCTAATTATATCAGAGCTGTATAAAGCAATAGTTAATTAAGCTCATTTATATAAATAAAAGGAAAATGTCTTTGAAGTATGTTTTAGTTAAAGGTTGCCAAAATTTTGTTATAAATTGAGAATAAATCCATCGGCCGATCACAAGAAATTATAGGACAAAGTGGAGTATTAGTTTTTAAATATTTGGAAAACGATGAAATTAATATTTCATAAAAACTAAGAACAACAAAGGCGCAAAAAACCGGGACAATCTTCATTAAAGGATATTGTCCCGGTTTTTTGCGGTCTTAGTTGCGGTCTCAGTTTTTTCAACAATAATGAGGCTGATCAATATACAGTTAGTTAGATTATTAGGGTCATACTGTAAGGGTTTATGTGTACTCACATTTACTAAAAGTTTAAATATTTTTCTTTCTAAGTCTTCTTTATCAAAAATTCAAATGTCTCCTCCTTTATCTGCTTTTTTAATAGTATTATATTACTATGTTTAATCTTCACTGAAAACAATGATTGATGCAATTTGGAACAAAGTATTCTTACTTTTTGGCGTAATAAAGTTTTGGCGTGATAAAGTTGATAAAGTATTCTTACTTTTTGGCGTGACAAAGTTGATTAAGATCTTTGTTAACAAATTTAAAATATATATATATATATATATATATATATATATATATATATATATATATATATACAGTGCTGGCCAAAAAGATCCGACCACTAAGGTTTTTAGACAGAAACGTAATACCACTTCAATTTAATGATAATATGATTGAATTAAACGCAACAAACAACATTCACATAAGTCAATGACACACTTTCGAAGAAACCAACAAGTAGTTCACATCAGAAAAGAGTTTCTAGTACCTCGAATGTCTTCCTCCGGCTTTGAGGACAGCTTCTATTCTTCGAGGCATAGAGGCAACAAGAGAGTCACAGTAATCAGGCGTTATTTTTTGGGACCACGCCTCCAGTATAGCCTCCTTCAAAGTTGTCGCAGACGTCGAGTTTGCTTTTGCCACTTCTGCTTTCAATTTTACCCAGCAATTTTCAATCGGGTTTAAATCCGGTGACGAGCCAGGCCACGGAGCAAGAACATTGATGGAATTCTCTTGAAACCATGTCTTGACGATCTTTGCCTGATGACATGGCGCGCCGTCATGCATAAAGATGTCACAGTTGCGAGTTCTGAGCCAAATAGGAACATTTTCCTTTATTATTTGCAAATAATTAACAGCTTTGATAGTTTCACCTGGCGGCATGAGATAGATTCCCGCTCGACCTCTGGCAGTAATTGCTCCCCAAATCATAATTGCAGGGCAATGTTTTACCGCTGGAGCAACATATCGGGCATTGTAGCGTGTGTTTGGTGGCCGTCGAACATTCACTTTATGCGTAGCAAATTGTTTCACCTGCGATTCGTCTGAGAACATGACACGTCGCCACATTGCCACGGTCCAATTTTTATGTGCTTTACAAAATTTGAGGCGGTCACGAATATTTTTCTGAGATAGTCGTGGTTTTAATGCAGCGCGATACGATCGAAGACTGAAATCGTCCACAAGACGTCGCCGAATGGTGCGAGAGCTCACATTCACATCAGGAGGCAGTTCATTGAGAATTTGTGAAGATGATGCCAGTGGGTCCTTCGTGGCTGCACGGCGGATCATAGCGTCAGTTTTTGATGTGGTACATCTCGGTCTGCCACTGGATCTTCCTGCAGCGCTGGTGCCTGTTGACTTGATGTGCTGAATGACGTCGTGAACAGTTGTCTTAGGCATTTGTAAACGTGCGGCAATCGCACGTTCAGACTTCCCGTCTTCCATCAAAAGTTGTATTTTAGCACGTTTTCCAGGTGATGTTGTCGCCATAGTCAAATGCAAATAGTAATTCACAGCTACGCATGCGATGGTATATATAACAATGGTACAACTGTTTTGATTGGCTGATAACTAGCCAATCACGCATGCAAAGCGTGATGGTGAAATTCCGAGGAAAGCGCCTACACTACAATGTACATACTGTATACATAGATAAACAATGCGTGGTCGGATCTTTTTGGCCAGCACTGTATATATATATATATATATATATATATATATATATATATATATATATATATATATATATATATATATATATATATATATATATATATATATATATATATATATATATATATATATATATATATATATATATATATATATATATATATATATATATATATATATATATATATATATATATATATATATTCAAAAGATGTTTAATTTTTCAATATCAACTGTTATATTTTTAAAAATAAAAAATTTTTAAATTTAAATAAAAATTTTTTTTTTTTCCTCCAAAATGTTATTTTCATATATGATTACTATGACGATAATTATTACGACGATAGTTATTAACTTGTACAAAGTTGTAGTTTTAAATTGGAATCGGAATATATTCCTCGTTAAAACGACATAGTGTGTTTATTTGACGAATAAATGAATCAGTGTTTTTTAAAGGGGCGAATTTGCTCAAAATTTCTTGACAAAATCCGGTCTTTTAAAAAATACTACTTCAAATATTTTTGAAATAAAAAAAGCTGAATTATGTTAATTCGATGATTTGCAGTAAAAATAAGGAATGTGGGAGGTAAGCATTTTTAGAGCTCGGAGCTTTGGATAAAGTAAGGTTATAAGCAACAATGCAAAAAACAACTATAAAAACCAGTTAGTATGGGCGCAACTATAGGACGTAAGAATCCCGGGTGACGGTTACAAACTAATATAAAAAACAATTTTTATTATGAATTAAACTTATATAACTTTTTTGCTATTTTATTTCAATTAAAAACCAAATTCTACGTAAACTATGAACTTTACTTCGAAAAATTGCATACTATATGATAATTTGAAAATTATAAGCTATTGTTTATTAGAATTTTTATAAATACATAAATTAAAAATGTCATTAAAAATAAGGAAATTGCTAAAAAAAAAAAAAAAAAAAAAAGCATTAGCACGCATGTTCATCAATACTACCTTTTCTTCGTCTTCGTCTCCTCTTCTTCGTAGAAGCATTTGAAGTGTCACTGTCATCTGTTAAACATTGAAGTAATGGGGCGTTATCGGAGTATGAACCGTTTGACTTCTGGCTATCATAACGGTTTAAAGAAGGATAAATATTTTGAGAATTATTTTTTTTCTCATTTTCATTTATATAGCTCTGTTCTTGCGTAATTGATTTTTCTTGTGTATTACCCTGGTTTTTGGATTGCTTAGATATGTTACTTGCTGACTGGAAACCTTTAGAGCTCTCACTACTTTGGGGTGATGGTAAATTATCTTGAGGATGAACTTTAGGAATAGGGGGGTAACCGGAGTAAAACGGTGGATAAAAATAAGGCACTTGTGGAAGACTGTGATTGCTCCCATAGTACATTTGAGGATACATTCGTTGATCAATAAACCCTGAGTTTGGACCAGGAGAAAATTCCTGCATTTGATAAGGTGCAGTAGGAAAATAGTATTCGTTTGACATATCAGACCTATCTTTTAACGAGATGTTTCGTGGAAGACTTGAAAACTTGTTAGGAAATCTGGGTTGATTTGAATATTGATAAACTTCATTGTTATTAGCTATGTTTTTAGGAAGACCTGATTCGTTTTGAAAAGCCGAGGATTGATTATATTCAGGTGCTTTCTTTTCACTATCATTAGAAACCAAATTTGTATTTGAATAGTTATTAAATTGTTCTTTTTGTTTCCGAACTGATTCTTGCTCTCTCTCATTTATTTGGTTTGTCAAAGCTGCTATTTTATCATCCCAAGTTTGAGATCCTAATGAGCTTTCACCTTCATAGTTGCTTTCTTCATCTTTGTTTTCATTGTCTTTCTTTATTTTTGAATCCATATTAATTTTACTTTTCGAGTTTTCATCAAAATTTTCATTAGATGACGCTATATTATTGACAGGTGATACTTCCTTTGACGAAATGAACTCTTGTAACTCGGATTGATTTAACCTTGATAATAACGATGCAATCAATGATCTAATTTCATTTAACTCAGTAGCATGTTTATACTGGCTTTGACATATGAACTCAAGCTATTAAAAAGTAAAAAAAAAAAAAACTATGAAAAAACATAAAAACATCACCGCAAAAATAATTACCTAGAATTAAGCAAAATTGTACGCATCTATAAATGTAAATTTTTCTGGGTAAAATAAGTAACCAAAACTCATTAACAAAAACTCTTCAAAATTTTTATATTATCATAATTTTTAAAAAATGTCACACCACACCACCACACGACCACACCCCTTTTTAATTTCTATTTTTATTCTTTAAAAGGTTTCTGTTTTTACCTCCGTAATTAAAAATAAAACAAATCATTTGCAAATAAACTTATTTATATAACCAAGAAAAAAAAAGTTATGCAAATATAATTAGTGTTATTTTAATAACTTACTTGAGTTTTAAAGTCTTCTCCAGACAAGGCATTAATAGTTTGATCTGACGTTCCTGGTAATGAGGTTCCTGGTATTGCTAGTGTTTTGCTTCCACATCGAATGGAGTCTGCCTCTGAAGAGAAATTTATAACTTTCTCTTTTATGACATTAATTGTATCGACTAAACGATAAAGCATAAGTGTTTGCTGCTCTTCATCGTCATCATCATCATTACCACCACCAGTTTCGTAAACTACCTAAAATAGTAAGATTTTAGCTAATTAATGATCAGGTTTTAAATGACTTTTTTTTTTCTACATCACACACAAATGTTAATTTGTACAGCACAACTGCCACTGTATTTGAAGGCAGTGGAAAAACTGACATTTAAAAACATTTAAAAAAAGTCACATTTAAAAAGTTTTGAGAAAGTATATATCGATCATTATTAAAAGTTATGTGTATCACTGACTGTGTATTGTTTAACCGCTTTTAACTATATATAAAAATTAATTAAATTTATTTAACCATTTGAAAAGGTACTTGATGATAAGACTTCATAGTCTTCTGCGAGTCTCCTTTACAACAACATGTTTATATTTGAAGAAACAATAGTTTTTATTTAAAAAAAAAAAACAGTGTTTATTAATCTAACGTTATATTTTATTATAATTGTTAAATTACGTATTCTTATGTTATGTTATATATTTTACTCTTTGCATTAAATTATATGATAGAATTGTAACGTAATGAAGTGTATATTGAAGTTGTAAAAAAAAAAAAAAAAAAAAAAAAAAAGTCTTTGCATAATAAAAAGAAAACCATAGTTGCCATACAGAGGCCACATTACTAAGGCCCGCAAAGACGAGTTCAGCTAACTAAAGAGCATATATTACCCTCTTCGCAGATCAAAAGTAAGTAACAAAACTTAAAAAAAATTTTCTCTACAAAAACATGCATGACTATATATATATATATATATATATATATATATATATATATATATATATATATATATATATATATATATATATATATATATATATATATATATATATATATATATATATATATATATATATATATATATATATATATATATATATATATATATATATATATATATATATATATATATATATATATATATATATATATATACATATATATATACATATATATATATATATATGTATATATATATATATATATATATATATATATATATATATATATATATATATATATATAGTCATGCATGTTTTTGTAGAGAAAATTTTTTTATTAAAGCATATTACCCAAAGTTACTGGTTGGCCACAATCTATGGGAACCAAAGAATATTTATAACAAATAATTTTTTTTTTAATAAAAAACAAAAGGCAAAACTTTGTACCTTGCTTTTTAGCTAACTTTAATATAATGTTAAGCCGGTATCTAGCCGATATGACAGCTTTGTAGATATCAACAGAGTTGGTAAATAATAATATATTTTTGGTAAGTATATACAGAATTATGTCGAGTTAGAACCATCTTATTCCATAAACACAGCATTTTCACAATTATTATAAGTAAACACTAAGTAAAAAAAAGAATCATAAACAAATCAAACCAGTTTTTTTGAGATCCTTTGCGTTTGTTTTATAAAAATAATTAAGAAGGTAATAACGCCCTCCGCATTTTTTAATAAATTTTGCGTGTCACATAAAGAGTGCTTAAAATTAAAATAGTTTCCCAGTGGGCATTTCGACGTCGAACGAACGTCGAGCGACGTCGGATCTCGACGTCGGATCGACGTTGGGTTTACGTTGGAAATGGAAATGTTATTTGACGTCGGATAAACTGACATCGCGCGACGTCGGCATTCCGATGTAAATCCAACGTGTTTTTTGAAAACTAAAAAACGCTGCCTTTGACAGGAATCGAACCTCGATCTATTAGTTACTAAATCCTATGCGCTTACCACTACACCACAAGGACATATTAAGTGATGAGTTTATTTAGTAATTTATACTTGTAGCTATTTGGAAATTATTACTTTGATAAGAAATAATTTTGTTTAAATATTATATAAATATTAAAACGAATAGTTATATATTATAAAAAATGTATACTCGAAAATGTTAATAGTTAAAAAACTATGCTTGTGCATCATACAAAACCTCATGATGTTTTATCAACCTTTATTCAAACTTTTTTCCATTAATAAAAAAACACGCTTAGTTCACATAATTATTGAAGAGCGCAATTGCACACATATTGTTGGGTTTGGATTAAATTTTCATCAGCGATGTCTTACGACGTTGTTCCGACGTCGTTTTAAGGACGTTGGATTGACGTCGGAAGACGTCAAAAGACATCTGAGTACGTTAATATTATGACGTTGCCCGACGTCTTTTTATCGACGTTGGATCGATGTCAGTACTGCGACGTTTTTTGGACGTCTTTTATAAGATGTCGGAACAACGTCAAAATACATCGAAACGACGTCAGGGGATGTTGAGATAAAGACATCGCCCGACGTCATTTTACTGACATCGGAACAACGTCGGAATAGGTCTTTTGATATCGCTGATGAAAATCAAACGTAAATCCGACGTCGGATTGACGTCGGGTGCCCACTGGGTTTATATGCATTTTTGAAAAAGTGCTAAGACAAATTTTAATTAAATTTTTTTAATCTCTTTTACATTAAAAATGTGTACATTAGTTACGAAAATAAAAAAGTTTCAGAACTTTTAATATATAATGTAAAATGTTAAATGTTAACTGAAGTGAAAAAACATCAAAATAATGGAACAAAAATGACGAAAAAAATATAATTGAAAACTTTAAACTCTGAATACAATAATAATTTAAATTCTGCAAGGCATTGTAATCATATAAAAAGTACAAATAAATTGTTTTTTGATGGAAAATCAAAAGTTGAAAGAATGTCAGACGAACAAAATATGGCCAAAGAAGATAATATTGTGACTATAATGCGTAACGTGCATACTTCTTGTGAAAAGAAAAAAACTTCTTGTGGAGAGAAAAAAACTTCTTATGAAGAGAAAAAAACTTCTTGTGGAGAGAAAAAAACTTCTTATGGAGAGAAAAAAACTTCTTGTGGAGAGAAAAAAACTTCTTGTGGAGAGAAAAAAACTTCTTGTGAAGAGAAAAAAACTTCTTATGGAGAGAAAAAAACTTCTTGTAACTATAAACGAGAGAAATAACACAAAAATTGCCGAATATTAGAGTCTCTGTCAAGAGTTTTATAAGCAAATGTGTTAGATGGAATACAAACTCAATGAATCATAGGATTAAAGAAGTTGTAGTCCATTCCATTACAGTTAATGACTTTAATCAATAATTTTTCAAAAATTTTAAAGTTGCCTTAAAATTATATAATTTTTTTCTAGAATTTAGGGCTTCAAGTATTTTACAAGCAGATAATGAAAGAGAAATTGTAAGTTATTTGTTATTTTAGAGGCTGTTGTGAAAAAATGTACGTATTAGTTAATGGTATTAAGAATTTACTTTTATAGATGCGTGCAACTTTGCTTAATTCTAGGTAATTATTTTTCCGGTAATGTTTTTATGCTTTTTCATAGTTTTTATTTCTTTACTTTTCAATAGCTTGAGTTCATATGTCAAAGCCAGAATAAAAATGCTACTATTTTTATTCTGGAGTTAAATAAAATTAGATCATTGATTGTATCATTATTGTCAAGGTTAAATCAACCCGAGTTGCAAGAGTTCATTTCGTCAAAGGAAATATCACATTATAACAAAATTATTATTGTATGGATGAGAGGCAATGAAACAATTAAATGGAGTTTTGGATTACGCATTGTTCAATGGGGAATAAATACTACTTGCCACAAAGCTATTGTAGCGCTGTAAAAATATATTTGATTATGTGGTTACTCTCGTCCAGAAATACTAAGTCAAATTCATCCTTTTGCTAAAAAGCATTATTAAAATGGTTTTTATTTATTCTCGGTAAAAAAGCTTGAACAAGAACAGACGGATAGGAAAATATTTCTTACAAAATTTTAAGCAAACCAGATTTTTTTTTTTAATGAAAATTTTAATAAGCAAGAAATTTCCATTACAAAAAAAAAAAAAAAAAAAAAAAAAAAATTTGCCTAAACAAAAAGGTATTTTGGTCTACCTCGTTAAGTTATTTGTTTTGGTATTTTTAATTAGCTCTAAACTAAGGTTGATTTAAAATTTTCTCAACATTTAGAGATCCCGAATCCGGTAGATGACCACTTAAATTGGCTACATAATTATTTTCACTATTTACGTTGCGTATTGGCATCACAGATTGCTTTAAAAATCACGGATTTGCTGGTTGCCTAATACATACAATAGTTCACACGCAGCGCATAAAAATACTTTCGGTATCCGTTGATAATAATTTTTCGTAATCTTAATGGAAGTGCGATCTTACTGATTTTCCTTAAATGTTATGGGACTGCAAACTTATTTCTTATTTTCTTAACCGTATTTTTTATTATTAATGTTTTTATAATTATTTAAATAAAATTTGAAGTATGATCTATAGTCTTGATTAACTATATGTATATTAGTATATACACGCTTAAAAATAGTGTGGACAAAAAACACGACACTTAGTGTAGTGTCTTTTTGGCTACACAATTTGTGTACTTCAAGGCTACACTTGTCCGCTTTAAAGCCACACTTGTAATTATGAAATTAAACTTCATTATATGCGTAAAAAAAGCCACACTTCTTTGTTGGATTCTCGTATCGAATTATTCGGAAAGGAGGCTAGAATCATGTTTTTAGCGACATGTTTTTTTTTATGAACCATTTTCAGTTTTACTGAAAATTTTAGTGTAACTTTTATTGCTGCATGGTAATTTTAAACACATACATAGTTAACTTTTTCATAAAAAAATTTTGGTTTGTAATATTTTAGTAATATCGTATTAAATATGTTAAGCGAGGAAAATATCGATTTTCAGTTGTTAAAAATTAGGTAAGACCTTCGGTTTGTAGTACATTACTACATGAATTAGTTGTGTGACTTTATTTAATTAGACTAATGTTATTATTTTATATATATTGTATTAAAATGTTAATACAATTATTTTAGTTACGTTAACAACATTACTATGAAGTTATAAAAATTATAACATAATAACATTAATTATATAAAATAACATTAGTCTAAAAAAAATTTGTAAAATATAGGTTTAAATAAAATCACATGACATTACCAGTTAACTGGTAATCTGTTAACATAACACAAGTAATTTGTTAACATAAATGTAAATAATGTTGTTAAATAATATTGTTAACGTTAAACGTTAATGTTAATGTTGTTAAAGTTAATTTTTTTATGTTATAACAAAATGGAAAATATTTAATACATAAATATTATCAAATAAATATGATAATAGTGTTATTTTAGTTAAAATAGCAGCATTTTAGTTATATTAACAACAACTATTTTAGTTATCATATGTTAACAACTAGATATATATGTATACCATAAAGGTATACTTTACATTATGTACATATCTTTTTTTTTTGCAGAGATAATTAATAAAAATCATTATTGCATGATATATCATTCAATAATGATTTTTATTAGTTAAGATTATGATTTTTAGTCATGTTGCATGTTGAAATAATGTATTAAATAATTTCATCATACCTATGAAAGCACTCTAATAAAATTATATTAATATATGCAATAAATGCACAATTGCAACTATGATTTATAGTGCTATAATATGTATATATTGTATATATATATATATATATATATATATATATATATATATATATATATATATATATATATATATATATATATATATATATATATATATATATATAAAATTTTTTTTTTTTTTTCTGATAAAAGTTATTAAAATGTTTATTTGCTATATATATGGTACTTTTACGTAACTATTGATTTTTTTTTCAAAATCATCTACAACGTCATAATAGTATTGCCGAAATTGTTTATCCAATTAGATGTTTACAGAATGGCTGTAAATGTACCTGTACAGCTTATATGTCGCTAATTAGACATGTAAAATGTTACCATAATATTGATAATGATTTCATTGATAAAAATCCTGAGCCAAAATATATAGTAATCCATTAAATTATAATCGTAACGATTTATTGCCTAATTTTTCAGAATATTCATTGCCTAGTTTCCCAGAGAATTCTACTTATCAAGTTTACACTTATCCTGAAAAAACAATAGAATATATTGATCCTTTGTTAGTTTCTTCATTGTGAACAAGCAGCAGTGTTCCTTATTACATTATACCTGAAGTAATTGTTTCTGTTAACAGTAATTTCATAATCATTAGTTTCCTATATTGAAGCGCTCAAATAGTTTTTCAAAGCTTGCCAATAAAATGTAATTATTTCACAAAAAAAGGTTTTCCTTGAATTTTTTGAAATTTCTTCAAACATTGCTGATCATTAATCGGTTGTTATTTTGAGCGATGATATTGGTAATGCTGCTTTATCAGTTTTCAATGACATTAGAGCAGATTCCACTCTATTATTGTTTAAGAGTAAGTTTGAAAGTAGTGTTATACATTGCAATGAGCCACTAAAGTTTCTTGACACATTTTATAAACAAGATAAACACTTAGAAAAAAATTCTTTTTTTGTAACTTCTGAAACATGCAACATGGGCCCTCCTAGATATGAAATTAATGAGGGAATTTCAAAGATAGTTTCATTTCATTGAAGAGGTATCAAGTAATATTACATTGCATGATGGCTTTAACACTTGCAAACAAAACATTCTGTTACTAGCAAAAGATTCAATGTTCAAAAATACTTTGTCAGAAGACTAATATAATGGAGGTATATATATGTCTACTACCCTAAGTGGGGAGAATGAATAAATAAGAACTTTATAAAATAAGAAATTTTACAACATAATTGTCAGTCTGCATAAGTACTAAGCTGCTGCAACTTGACTATGTGCCAATCTGCAAAAGTGCGAAGTTTCTCTTTCTCATCTTATTTCATTTATTAGTTCCTTATGTAATATACCCTTTTAATCCAAAAGAATGTTTTTTTATAATCTACCTATAAAGGTTTATAAGTATATACAAGTTGTTCCCTGATTTATTTTTATTTTTATTTAGAAGATGCAACTTTGCTTGCATTTAAGGCGCTCCCTTTTCTTATGATAGCACCTCCACAGAAGGGCAAGAAGAGTCCAAGAATTTGGCTTTATTTTATAGAGAAATGGATGTAAGTTTTTTCTATGCATTTTTTTTTAAAGTTAAATTTGGTTTATAATCAATAAGTATTACTTTTTTGAGCTTTGAATTTTCTGCATTTTTAAAATTTTACTTAAACATTTAGGTACACCTCAGTCTTGAAAGCTCCCTTGAGTTATTGAAGAAGGAGAAAGTTTTTCTACTGATTTTATTCAAGTGTTTCAGCACTCTATTTATAATTTAAATTATAACTATAATTATAAGTCGATAATACAGCTATACGGTTGGAAGCCATACCGAGTATTGGATTTGCTTTTGAGTTGCTGCTAGTCTCATGTATTTAATGTCAATTTTCCTCATGAACTTATTTGTGTATATGGATTTATGGGAAATTTGCTTGGAATAAACAACAAAAGAATTATCGTCAATTCCTTTTAAATAAAGTATTGTCAAAAGTTTAAGATTAAATTAAGCAATATGTTTGTGAAACGAAAAAGTATTTTTATCACTTTCTTGTTTATTTTTGTTATATCGTCAGCCGAGAACCAAGAGACCGTATGTCTTTTTTTTGTGTTTCCAAGAAAATCAAGTTTCAAATTTTAATTTGCAAAGTCTTTCTTCCAGAAAATTCGACTGATTATTTAAATATTTCCTAAAATTTTATTGTTGTGGTATATTTATGAAACACACACTCCTGAATATTTATTGATAATGGACAAAAAAAAAAACACAAAATGTTGATATACGGTTCTTCTCCGACGGCGGTATCTATTTTTCAAAGTTTTAACTCGCTTTTGCATATAAATGTTTTAAGACTTGTTTTTAATTTAATATTCACTGAATTGAGTTTGAGTTTAAACTGAGTTTATATACTTAAAAGAAATACTATAACAATGCATTGACTCGGAATTAAAATAAAATTTATATTTCAGTTTTTATTATTTTATTGTGATATCGTGCCGTTATTTCTTGTAAGCCAATATAATATACATGTGTAATTTAGTATATGACTCTAAATGACAATGTGTAATTTATTATATGATATAAATAGCATTCTTTATTTGAATTATTTAATTGCGTCCGGTTATATACATAGTACATGAAGACCTAAATGGGCGGAATAAATCACGCATAAATATACTTACAAAAAATCAAAACATTTTTAACGTCTAGAAAAACACAGATTAGTGTTTAAACTTTTTTTACAACAGTTTTGTCGCGCAAAAAGAGCATATATATACAGCCATTGATTAAATGCAACAATTATGTCGAAAAAATTTCTACAAAAGTGTCGCATTAAAGGCCAGAAAGTGTGACTTTCAAGTCTACATTTTATGTAGCCTTACGAATGCAACACTGAGTGTGGCTTTTAAAGCCACATAGTGTTGGTGTAGCCGGCGTCGACACTCATTGTTGTATTCTACGCGACATAATGTAGCCTACGGCTCAACACTATTTTTAAGCGTGTAGGAATAGAGCATAAATAAACAACTTATTTTTATATAAATATATAATCAAAAACTTACTTGTGGTGAGCATTCTTTTGTCATGAATCTTTTAACAGAATTCTTCTTTTTAGCTCCCAAACTCCTTTCTAAATCCATCAAACGATTGGCTTGCAGCATATAAGCTGTAGCAGTTGCATCACCATAAACTCTGTTAAATGTTTCACTCATTAATGCAATATATAAATTTAAACATACAACAGAGGCTAAAGTCATATAAGTACCAGATAAGACTTGAGCCATTATTTTGTCTTTTTTCATGAGATCACCGACGTCATAACCAGCAACAATAGTCATTAGAAATACTTGGTTAACAAGGTCATTAAATGTCTCGTACTCAGTTCCTTCTAAACCACCAAACAAAATCCAAAATGCACAAACGTAAGGGATAAAGAACTCAAAAAAAAGAAAAGCAAATTTAGCTGTATCAGCTATAACATGTCCAAGCATAGTTATAAATGGTCCTAAACTTTGATAACAACGGCAGCATTTCATAAAACGCAGCCATAGAATAATCAAAAGAAGAGGAAATGTTTTTGAGTGCAAATCATGGACACTATTTTTCCCACTAATAATAGCTGCAAATCGGGTGATAGCAACGAGTAAAACGGAAAAGAACGCTACCCACTCAAATATATTCCAACCATTTTTCCAATAAGCCAGTGCGTTAGATGATCGAATGTTCTCCATTTCCGTCATTAGATAACGACGTTCTTCAGGCCATCTCGGATGACTGTACGTTAAGTCACGCTCAACTTCACGAATTCGCCATTGCTTATAAGTACTATCTCTTTTCTGAGTTCGTCGAAACTCTATAATTTGCTTTATTTCGAAATAAAAGATAAAACTTTTTTTTTAATAAAAACTCACTTTTATAAAGCAGATTTATGATATTATTATAATAGAATAATAGTATTATAAAAATTCTAATAATTATAAAAAAAAGAAATTGTAATGTTCCAATGCTACAAGCTATTTTGTTATGTTGCATGTTATGTTGCATGATGTTGCAACGCACCATTATGTTGTATCCAGATTTTACACAAAACCTTTAATTATATTAAATTTTAAACATGTTGTTTAAAGTAAGTAAAAACTTACCATAATTATAAAATATGTGGCCAAAATACTGCAAATAATTTCAATAATAATTCGCCAAATATTGCTTTTAATTGGAGTATAGTATCCTGAAGTTGATGAAAACGTTCTAGGAAGGCTAACCCCAAGTGATGTCCAAAGTAAAGTATAGGTGAAATTTAAAACCACATCAATAGTAGAATAAAATTTTCCAAATAAATTCCACTTTATTGCAATAAGTTGCAATATTACTGGATGCATAATTAACTCGTTTTCATTGTAAATGCAGATAGTCTTAAAAATATAAAAACGTTGACATAATTATATGTATATATATATGTATATACATATATATATTATATGTATATATATATATATATATATATATATATATATATATATATATATATATATATATATATATATATTTATTTATTTTAATATTTAATTAATAATTTTTGTTTTATTCAGACTAACTATCAAAAATGATATTTAAAAAGAAAATTAGATCACTTATTTTTTGGCTACGAAAGGAGTGAAAATCACAGCAAAATTTAGGAAAAGTAGTAAAGAAATCAAATGCAAATGCTAAATTACTAATAGCTAACTAAAAATGCACACACCAATTTAATTCTAACTTTACAAACCCTCCACAATCTTCAGTCTTCAGATTTAAAGCCCATCAAATATCTTTGGGATGTTTTAGGTAGTTAAATTAAAAGGTAAAAAATGGGCAATATATATATGAATATATATATATATATATATATATATATATATATATATATATTATATATATATATATATATATATATATATATATATATATATATATATATATATATCATATTGGAGATAAAATATTTTATGTAAACTTTGGTTTGAAAATAACTAAAACACATTTGATTTAGTAATGAAATTCTTTTTCTCTAAAAAACCTCTTCAACTGGGCCTCAGAAGAACTAGAATTTTATAAAGATTTTTAAATTTTTAACCTTTTTTTATTAAAAGTGTTGTGATAAACTATTGTTACAAAATGTCATAAAAATTAACTGTCACTTTTTGTTTCAAAATTTTATTATTTTATATAAATTTAAGAGATTGACATTTATTCATAACCATTATTATTTCTGAAACCTCTATAAAGTTCTCTCAATAGGCATCAAATGTCTTAAATCCGACGGGCGTCGAGTGGACGTTTTTTTATACTTCCAAAGACGTTGATGCTCATTGTGCATCTACTTTTGAGATCCATGTTGATAAAGTTTTGGAAATTTTTTAAATATATGGTATCAAGCGTAATGGTGTGTGACCTTTTTTCATTAAAAAAATAGTATTCGAGTTACTTTCAAACTCGAAATTTGAGTTAGTTTCAAACCAAAGATATCCTACTTATTATAGAAGGAAACCCGTATACTAAAAAGTTTTAACTCAAACATACACATATATTTTAGAAATCACAATATAAAGCACCTCCAACGGTGTCCGAGCAAAAGAAGTTCTCATTGCTTTTCCACCTTTAGTAGCCATCTTTCTCCACACGTCCAACTCCAAGTAATTCAAATAAAAATATTGCTTTCGCAACGCTTTATCCACAAGATGAAACTGTCCTAAAGCAAGTTTAGCAACATCTGGCATTTTTTCAATTAATAAAACTAATAGAGATGTCCCTCCATCATCATAAATACCCGCTGGAGCTCCTTGCTCTAACAAAAATCGAGATGCTTGAGAACGACCTAAACAAAAATGATTAATATACCATTAAGTTTTTATTTAGGTGTAATACAAGTATAGTATTATAAAATACGTTAATTATGTGTAATAAAAAAACTATTGTAATAGTAAAACTATTGGAAAAGTTTAGCTTCTTAAAGATTATTTCTATGTACAAGTTTTTTTGTTTTTTCAATATTAATTTTTTTTTCTATCTACAACTGATACAAAACTATTTAACGGGAGTTTTGAGTTGTGGCATAGTGATTAAAGCGCTGCCTACAAAACGGTCCGAAGATATCTATATATCTATATATATATATATATATATATATATATATATATATATATATATATATATATATATATATATATATATATATATATATATATATATATATATATATATATATATATATATATATATATATATATATATATATAAATATATATATATATATATATATATATATATATATATATATATATATATATATATATATATATATATATATATATATATATATATATATATATATATATATATATATATATATATATATATATATATATATATATATATATATATTAGGGTGTCCCAAAAAACAACATTTTTGAAAATAATCTGCTCTCACCCCCTAAATGTGTTCTATCTAATGCAAAAACACTAGGTTTAAATTTTTTTTGAATAAAAAATATTTTAAGGGGTCCCTCAAGACCCTCGAATATTTAATGGGTCCCTAATATTTTCGAAACAAAAAGTTCTTCAAAAATATTTCAACCTGGTACTCAAATGAAGCGAAATAAAAATAAAAAATTGCGTTTTTTAAGAAAAAATAAAAAAAATGCATTTCTAATGTTTTTTTTATAATAATCTTGATAAATAAGTTGAAAATATTTCGAAATGAATATTATTTTTGAAATATTTATATAATTTCGCTTCATTTGAGTACCAGGTTCACACACACACACACACATATATATATATATATATATATATATATATATATATTATATATATATATATATATATATATATATATATATATATATATATATATATATATATATATATATATATATATATATATATATATATATATATATATATATATATATATATATATAACACGGCAAAAAATTATATAATTAAAAAGTATGTTTCATTATTTTATTACCTGTTTCTGCAGCAACAAATAACGCTGTTCTTGATTTATAATCTCTTGCACCAATATCTGCACCCAAGTTTAGCAATACTCGAACACTATCTACAGCATTGTTCTTCGCAGCATAATGAAGAGGTGTTTGGTTCTCACCTTTAGTAAATGCGTCCACTATTGCTATATAAAAATAAAAATTTATCAAAAACCTCCATCCCAGTAAACACGCGAGGTATAAAAGATGTCTTAAAGACTTGTAAAAGACGTCTAGGTTAGATGTCTTCAAGAAGTCGTGTGTTTAATAGCGTAAGAGGAAAACTAGTTTAAAGCTAACCAAATAACAGATGTACTTTTTTTTATTTTTTTAAGTGTTTTTGTAGGAGAAGTTTCCAAAATGAATTAACCTACAAATACATATGCGGCTCGAAAACTTATGTAAAATATAATAAAAAATTATTTTCCAAGTTGGAAATTTTATGGATTACTAAATATTTCATGCAACATGATGTTTAAGTATATTATATTACTATAGTTTAAAATATTTCATGTCAAAAATTATTTTTTCAATATTTTAAAACCGCCTCACGCAAAATACTATTTTGTATTCATCTTATATAAGTATTTTTAAGTAAGATTATAAGTATATTTCAAGATAAAAATTTAATATTAAATTGGCATTAAAAAAATTATATTGGTATTACTACAAATACTATGAATTAATGTTCAGTGAATGTTCATCCAATTTTTCCTATTTACTGTTGCAGTAAAAATATTTTAGCCAATGTGCAACAGATAAGAATGTAGGATTATATTTTGATAAATAATACAATAAAAATAAGATTGGTAAAATATTAAATTTTTTTTAAGAAAATATTAATAATTTCTGATTTTTAATAATGACATAAGATATTTTGGGTCACCAAGGAAAATTAAAATACTCACAAAACATTTTTGATACCTGCTTGAAACTTCGATTAACAGTTTTTAAGAAAAACCATCATTAGAGTTGAATTGAATTCAAGTTGAAATAAAGATCATTATTGTATATTTTTGTTATACAATATATATGTTGTTACAATATATATGTAATTTTGTAAACTTAAGTTGATACACCACCAAATATTCAAAATTCTTCTTAACTTGAACAAAAAATTTCTATTAATAAAATATTCATAAAATAAGAATGATTTTTCATACTTAACTTTGGCTCGCTTGATTTGCCTCGATTATATAGAAAATCATCTTTTTAATGGGTCAATTCAAAACACAATATCTTGAAATATATTAACAAAAAGCCTATGAAATATTTTACACATGTTTTAGACATGTCAATAAAGTACATTTGGATTTTAAGATTATTTTGGCAACATCAACAATTATCGCAATTGCTACATATAACATTTTAAAAAAACTTATTTTTTTTGCTCATTATTGTTTAGTGTTTTAGACCGTTTAGACCGTGTACTTTTTTAAGTAGCTTTTTACTTCTTAAATCTTTAAATACCGGGAAAAGAATATTCTTTATTACTAATAATAACTAGTAAATTGCAACTTATATTTTTTAACAGACCAATGGAAAAATAGTAATTGCACCCGCACCTTCCAAAGCACCTGATGATCGTTGATGATTAGCAAGAGATTTATGATTGGTATTTAAATCCTGGTAATCTAGAGTTCCTTTTTTGCTTTTCCAAATAACACTACTTTTTTAGATATTGATATTAACAACACCATTAAATGATAAGTGATTTTTTAAACCATGTTCCCTCAACTAAAACTTGTCATTGAATTGTATCATCATGTGAAGCATTATTTTTAGTAAACTTTTAGTAAACAGTTGCATAAGCGTTTTATAGCTTATATGTATATTATTTATACAGATATTATAGTTTTATCATAAGTATTCAAAGGAAATTTTACAAATAAAATGAAGGGAAAAGGGTATGAATTGTTAATAAGTACCAATTGGTTTCTTAAAAATAAAAAAATAAAAAGCTAGATATAAAGTTGAAATTATTATAAACAACGTCAAGATTTCTCCTAGCTCTAATTTTCCTTGAGCTGGCTATTACTGTACAAAAATTTGCCTCTTTTAGTATAAGTGTGCTTTGGCATTGCATTTTTCGAGTTTTGTCTAAAAATTAATGCCTTGGTAATGTCATTTTTTCTTCTAACATAGGATCTGCCTATCTTTAGGCTGATAATTTAAGAGAAGTTTTATCGGAAGAACCTATATTTTTTAAATCACTCGGATTATTAACTATTCAACAAATTAAAAGGCGTTTAGCGAGTTTGTTTTTATTTTATTTTGAGAAAATAATAATGTAAAATCATTATAAAAACCTGTTCGAGCTGATGTGACTTAATAATTACAAAACAAGCTAGAATTTATTAGTTGTGTTTATGGATGTTTTCCGTTGCTAAGGTAGTTGCTATGGTATATATTAATCAGGAAAAAAATAAAGTACAGCGCTATTAACTCCATATAATTTGTCGTATATTTTTTCATAAAAAAGGGGCCTTCTTATAAGGGAGAAAGAGGGGTTATATCCGATCACTCCTAGATACAAAAAAGAAATTTGATTTTAGATTTATTTTTTGAGTTTTTGTTAACGATCTTTTTTCAATAATACCATTATAATAAACATTTAATATATTTTACATTAGAAATTATAATAAGCGTTTAATATTTTAATTTTTACAAAATAATTTTAAATAAAATATTATATGTATTTTAGTAGTAAGATTTTTTGAAAAGGGTTTTGACAAAGTTTGTATATAACAACAGGTTGATAAAAGCTTTTAGAATAATTTTGTGGCAATTTTTGAGTACCTTCATAATCATTTTTTTTAGAACTGCATAAAATTGTAATGAAGAGACTCTGAGGCTTGTTTACTCTAATTGCCAAACCCTTTGTTTGTACAATCATTGATACCATCTTTTAAAAGTTTTCCCCTAAGTTATATTGAAGATAAAAATTTCGACACTTTTGATTCTTAAAACATAATCAGGTTTTAAAGTCGTTTCTAAACAATTTTATCTTCTCTCAAACATTCTTTTAATATGAATGAAAGATTCTCATGTTGTAGTAATGTTTTAAACAATGTAATAATGTAATAAGGTAAGTAATATTTTTTTAGAGTTACTATAAAACTTTAGTTTTCAAAACCCAGATTAAAATCCACTGCTTTAAAAACAAAATTCTTTAGATTTAATGTAATTATCAAGACAGTTAAAAACTTGTTGGTATTGGTGCTGAAAAGAACCCCCTGTTTTTCTCATAAAGCATTCCCCATTTTTCTCATAAGATTTCACGAATTGCTTGAATAATACCAGTTTGATCTGCAAGAGAGAGGAAAGTAGTTTTCTCTTGCTCAAATAAGGGTTTTTTTAATTTAACAGTTCTACATTGAGCCATAATTGACAGACATTCTTTCTTGAAATAGTAGTTTATTTGGTCTCTACTGTCTCACATGCAAAAAATATTGTTACTTTAGCAATAAGACTGTTGTTTCATGCAAAAACTCACCATTTTTAAATCAAACTTAAAGATGGTGAATTTTTGCATAAAACAACAAAACAAAAATTTACCATCTTTTAACTCAAATGACCCATTAATAAATATTTTCTTCATATCTGTCTTTAAGAAATGTTGAGTGTCTGAGAGTAACAAAGCTATACAAATTTTCATTGTGTAACACTACACATTTTAAACTGAATTTTAAAACTGCCCATGAAAAGACGCCAGTTATGTGGTTTGTATTCCTAAATGCCAAATTTAGTATGAAGCACAATAAAATACATGCATAAAAGGTTTTACAGATATCATTTTTAAGATGTATCTTCTTTATTTAGTTAAGAACTCAATAGTTTAGCAGAACTTTTTTTAAAGTTTAAGTCACAAGCTAAATTAAACAGATTTACCTGGAAGAATGGATAAGGTATGATTTCAAATATTTTGATTTTTTCTATCATCTTTTAGTGATGAATTTTTGTCGGCTGAAAGTAAACTTATCTGAGGCAAAACGATGAAGTTTGGAATAAAAAGCTAAAAAGTAGACTAAATCTAAAGGACTTATAGACTTGAAGAAGTAGCCTTATTAATTTAAGAAGTTTAAGTAAGTTAAGAAAATAACCCTTAAGAAGTAACCTTTATAAATTTATAACGCGTTTATAAACTAAACAAACCTTAACTAATATATTATTACACTGGCCAACAAGATTTTTAGAAAATAAATATTATATCCGATTGGGCACACCAATGTTGAAACAGCGTTAAACTACGTTTTTGGTTGTAATAACGTCATTTAGTTATGTAATAACGTTATTTAGTTATGTAGTAACGGTTGTAATGACATTGGATTAACATTGAAAATAGAAAGGATGGTTAACGTTAGATTTTCTAACGTTTGATTTTCCGTTACGTGGTAACGTTATATTTCCCAACGTTCATCAACGTTAACCAACGTTGGAATTTCGATGTTAAAGCAATGTTTTTTAAGTATAAGTTAGCAGTTACCGAAACTCAAACTTTGACCATACGATGGCGCGTGTATCGCGCTTTCCACTATGTTACACATTTGTACTGATATTTATAAATAAATGTTTATTTTTTAATTTATTTATAGTAACATTTTCTAAAAATTAAATATAGTAAAATTCACTTTTTTTGGTAAAAAGTTAAAATCATTTATTATAATTAAATATTACATTTATTTTTCAAAAACTAATATTCAAAAAATTTGATACTTTAAGAAAAAGTATATATACATATTTTTAAAATACGTAAATATTTACCTTGCCGAATTATTGACAGAATCCTCGTCAAAAAAAGTGGAATATTCATTAAAAATAATGCAAATAAAACTACTATAACGTTGTTTAACTCCATTAAAAAAATACGTTGGTGTAGTAAAGTTATTTTTGGGAGTGAAAGATATTGTTTTCCAACACCAGAAAAGCAATGTATCATTATATTTGATTCACATATTAATATACCAAATTTATATGTAAAGTAAAACCTTTTTTTTGATTAAGATTTTAACTCGCAATTTTATTTGTAAATTAATATTTGATTAAAGATTTTAACTCGCAATATTTGTTAAAAAAAATTTTGTTTAATACTTTAGTTCACTGGTTTTAAAACTTGTATTTGTGAATGAGGTATGATTGGGTAGTA